GGAGTCGGGACTCGAATCAACTATTCAAGTTGAATTTTCTGCAGGCGCACTCGTCATGTTGGGGTGCGCGCAGAGATTCGAGTGAGTGAAATAAACGGCGTAAAATCGAGGCTGTTTAAACGTGTAGCACTGTCACTAAACTTGGGGCATCAGCATCCGTATATGGACGATGATGTTCAAATTTACGAGAATGCGGCTAGGCCGAGTAAACCCGTGCACACCGTTCAGAATGAACACCGACCGAGCTACGTATACGCGGACAACGCGAACAAGCCAACGACACTTTACGAATCATCGCAGACGTGGAATTACAATCGACCTGCGTACACGAATCGTCCTACGATTTACCATCCGACACAACTAGATTATCCTCAAGACGAGTACGGAACCGATTATCCCGATGCTTTGGGATTGCATACGCCGCAGCAGGATGTCGCAAGCTCCGTGGATTATTCCAAATATCGTGGTAATCCGCATCAAGTCGCACAGATCTAAACATTTTGCACCAATAGTACAATAGTTTCTTTCGCTACGAATGCAAGCTCCTGCTCATAACAATTAACCGAAACTGTTGCGAAATCTTTCCTCTAGTGCGTCGTATTATATAGTCGACGAATAGATGTGTCTAGCAATTTTACTAGCGGCACACACAGTACATAGCGTCATTGAAGGAACGAGAACGAGCGTTCGCGGCAAATGTTACAAATTTCTTGTCGGTACACAGAGGGAAAATCAATGGGAAAAGGAAAACGGACGTGTTTTTACTCACAGGTTGCCTTAACATTGTTCACTTTTTCTACTTGTGTCGCTTTGCACGCTTTTTCACGAGACTATAGGCTATCGTTAGACGATACGTCGCCAGTTATAATGACAGGTAGAACGGGCAAGAGTATCAATGGGTGTGGGATGAAAAGCGGGCAGAGAAAGAGACGAATGAGCGAGAGAAAAGACGATAAAGCCGATGAAAGCCGGGTAACAGCAATTTCCTTCTCGAGAAGGAGAATCTCTGACATTTCATGTTTTTCCACTCGAACAGAGCTGTTTGTTCAAAATGATCGTTTCGCGGCTAAATATGAATCGCATTGAATCGCACGAGTTCGTTATCGAAACGAGTGGTTATGTCACTTTCTCTCCAACTGCAGACACGACTCACCGCCGTATGTACACTATACGCGATACGTTAGACACTGTGTAGTAGCTAGTTTGCAAAGCCAAGTAAACATGGGAATATTGTTTTCGAAATGCTCTGACGTTCCCGTGCTTCGTAGGTTGCGGTGAACTTTATACGAGAAGTAATAGGATCGTGGGTGGACACAGTTCTGGGTTCGGCAGTCACCCTTGGCAGGTGAGTTCTCCTCGGCAGGTTCTTGCCGGTTCTATTAGTTGCACCGTTCCGATGCAACCCAAGTATCCGTAGAATTGAATAGACATCGTTCCACTTTTATTTATTTCCAGGCGGCTATAATTAAGTCGGGATTCCTCACCAAGAAATTGTCGTGTGGTGGCGCTTTGTTGAACAACAGATGGGTCGTGACTGCGGCTCATTGCGTTGCAACGTTAGTATTTGACGGAACAAGGAGCATGCTTCGCGTGGAACATTTGTAAATTAGTATATCGTATTACAATACAATGTGTAATTCGCTTTTGTTTTTTCGTTCGTTTCGTGCAGGACACCGAACGGCAACTTGAAAGTACGTCTCGGCGAGTGGGACGTGAGAGACGCATCGGAGCGATTGTTACACGAAGAATTTAATATCGAGAGGAAGGAGGTAAGTACACATCTGCTTGGATGTAACAGGCTATGTATTTTCTATTATAAAACGCGATTTATGCAACTTTGAAAATCAAATACAGATACACTTTTCTAATGAAAATTCTAGGTCCATCCGCAATATTCGCCAACCGATTTTCGAAACGACGTAGCGTTGATAAAGTTGTCGAGAACGGTAGCGTTCAAACAGCATATCGTGCCTGTCTGTTTGCCAGCGAAAAATCTGAAAATTTCTGGGCGCACCGCAACCGTTGCTGGCTGGGGTAGAACCAGACATGGACAGAGTTCGGCGCCGACTGTTCTTCAAGAAGTCGACGTAGAAGTGCGTAGACATGCATAATATAAAGTGTAGAATAGAAATAATATCCTCTCGTTCGATAGTTGAAACCTATCCGATGCTTTAGTCACCGAATAAATCCAGCAGAACGTCACAAGCATCGAGAATCTGAATGAAGCAAGTGTAATTTTTAGGTAATTCCTAACGAAAGATGCCAAAGATGGTTCAGAGCAGCCGGGAGACGGGAAACCATTCACGATGTTTTCCTGTGTGCCGGTTATAAGGAGGGTGGACGGGATTCTTGTCAGGTACGTATTCAACTTTCCTCGCGGACGAAGAGATTCGTAGAAGATTGTCGAGTTCGAGTCGATCCGTTCAACCATGGAAAGCAAGAATAATTTAGCAATTTCAATTGTAATAGGGCGATTCAGGTGGACCGTTGACAATGTCCGTCGAGGGAAGGCACGTACTGATCGGACTCGTGTCGTGGGGTATCGGATGTGGTCGCGAACACTTACCCGGCGTGTATACGAATATTCAGAAATTTGTACCATGGATCGACAAAGTGATGAGTTAGATAATATAATCGTTCGTCACGACTGATAACGACGATTCAGATGGATATGGTTTGACAGCTACGCACACGATAGTATAATGCGATCACAACGAAATACTGGTATACATAATACGGTATCTCCCCGGACCAAAGTTTACCGTGACTGATTCATGTACCACGCATAACTGGTTCACGCTACATATAATATTATAACTTTCTTCCTGTCAATGATGGCTCGACGGTTCGAAATTTAGATTCCGAATAACATCAAATACATACAGATATATAAATATTAAATAATATATACACAAGAAAATAATATAACACGACGATCAGCAAAGGCTACTTTTCTTTTTCCGAAATGATTTCTGTTCGTACATGCAACTTCTCGGGTACTATATAATATTATATACGTGTATATATGTTGGGCTTATATACATACATTAATCGTGTACAAACATCTATGCGTATATATGTACATCGTTAGCAATAGAATCGTTTTTTGTATACATGCGATACTTTGACGCAGTGATACTCGCAAGTAAGGAATCTCCTAGCGCAGAGGTCTAGAAGAAAGACGACGTTAACAATTAAATTGTACATTTAGTTGGATTTAAATGTTTGCAGTAAAGAATTTTATGAAATGGAAAATCAGGTGTATTTTATCGTCGACAAATGAAATGTTCAGTAAAGTTGAGATAGATATCTACGTTACCGAAAGAAATTTCCTCGTTTATCGGCATCCGATGCATTCGATTGCAGACCAACAGTTTCATAGTTATAATCGTTCCACGAGGTATACACCTATATGTATGTACCGGCGATTCATTTTAACAACAAGTAGTTGGCACGTTCACTGTAAAACCTTTTCATCTCGAATAAGAAAAATAAGAAAATATCTTACAATTGACATCTCAGCGATCAACAAAGTTACATATTCGCAAAGACGAAAGACTCGAATCGTAAGGAAAGTTTGTATCAAAGGTGCAATAAAGACCAACAAATGCTACAATCGTTTTGTTATAGAGATGACATTGGGAAATTACTACATAGCTATGTAAATATATTTACTGCATAGATGCAAGCTCGGGTATATACATACATAAGTATATTGAACATGTAAACTGTACGATACAATGCACAATTACAATTAGTTTTATGGAAAATTTCAATTCTGAAATTCTGTTGCAACAGAATCATATAAAGAACATTTTCGTTTGTTTCTAGTTGGCATTATAACACCGAGCGATTGTTCGTATAATTGTTTGGAAGGTAGAGTAGAATTGCAGTGACATCTACGATGGTGCTATCGTTGATAACACAGCCAGGGATTAGAGCGAAGAAGACGAGTTGGTTGTTTCGCGGCTGCACGAATGGTTGAATGGCTGGACAAATAAGTGGGACATTAGGTGTCCGGAGACTTTGTGACAAGTACTACATACAGTTCCACTTTTGCTCTCGGTGAAGGCTTGGCAGCGATCGGAGTAAAGGGCAAGGAAGATGGTCAGAATGTACAGGTAGAAGAGAAGTTGCACAGACGAGGTAAAGAAGATGGAGGGTGGCAAGTTACAGGGTGGAATTGGCAAGGGGGCGAAAGGGATGAAGGGGCTGGAGGC